TCAGTCAATATGACTTTAGTACATACCTACTTATGTTTTATGATATACCTTATACCTACATAATATTTGTATAGCTATGATAGTAATTTATTTTACAATTAGTAGGTAATACGGAGGTCGAGGTTGAATTAATTTTTGCCAAAATATTTCATATTTTATTAAACATATTATTAATAATATTTCATATTTTATTAAACATATTATTAAATATTAATAATAATTAAATTAAATAGGTAATAATCATAATAATACAGCGAAATCCTTCCCTAACCGATACCTCTAAATAGCAGACACCTCCAAGGCTCCAAATAGCGAACAAAATTTCAGAGACTAAGAGTGCCCAGTATTTAGAGGTTTCACTGTAGTATTTATTCTTTGTATCATACATTAAATAAAAAATAGCATAAAATGAGTTGAATAATTTTATAATATGTCATTGTGTATTTGTGTGTACAAGAAATAATAATATAGACATTAACCAAACGTCTCAAGTCAAAATATCAAATATATTTTGAATACAAATATACAACAGTCAAGAATATAAAATAATTTATTTTTCGTTTGAATACTTATTCAATTTCATCCTTTCGAACTTGAAATGTGTATAAAAAATATTTTTTTTTGAAAATTTTAGGTTTCTGCTTGCAATAAAAAAATTCAAGAAACCTTAAAGTACATTTTTTTCAAGCCTTTGATATAAAAAAAGCAATTAATACATTTTCGACAGCAAAGAATTGTTTTTTCCGATTGAACTTTAAACACTTATAAAAAAATTGTACCTATGCATTTTTGAAATTGTAAAGACTGCAAAACAACTTATCAGTTATCTGGAATTTTATATTAAATTATGTACGATTTTACTTTATTTTTACCCACGAACCATCCATATTATGACAATAAGTGACAAGCATCTTATGAATATTTTTAACAACATTTTTGGTTGGACAAATATCATTAAAACTATAGTGATTATCATCGATTTTTAGTTCAAAATAATAGTACAACATTGTTATTTGTTTGTTACTCTTGCGTATCGAAGCCAGACGAGTGTTATTGTACACATTACACTGTACACCACCCAGTCTAATGTTAGTAGGTTGCAGGTAATATTGTGTAGGTATTATTGTAACAGTATGCAGTATACTGTCTGTTTACTTTTCAGTAACTATACTTTTCAATTTTACAATATTTTTGTTTTTTTCAATACTTTAATTATTATTATTATTTTTTTTTATTCATCATAGTTACAACAGTTACTAGGCCATTAGTTCTTATTTACATTGTATTTACTTATATTTTACTTTATAGTTTATGCTTATATAGTTATATTATGTTGTATAACTCGATTTTCTGTAAGAACTTGATGATGTTAATATTGGACGTCTGGTTGTAGGACATTTCCTAGTAGATGTTGTTTACTGGTAGTATATGTAAATTAGCATATTTTATAGCTATAGCATTTGTAGCAATAATGTATAAGTAGGTATGCTCAATGCTGTAAGGTGTCATCAACCCGATTAAGTATAAAACAACGAGGAGTTGATTCTTAAATTAATTTTAAATATTATTTTTATACTAATGGACTGATGAAAACTTAAAATAGTTTTTAAATATTACTATTTTTTTATATCTCATACAACCTGTAGTACACATTAGTACAACAATTAAAATATTATGTTCATAAGAATTTACTGGCAAAAATAATAAGATTACTCTTACCTATATTTAAATTTTAAGTTTTGAATACACCATAAACTGATAAAATGTCGTTCACCTTTGGGCATACGACAGTGACAGTGCATGAAGAATGAAATCCCGATTACTGTTAGGAATACTTTAGGAAATATTTCTGAACATGGAAATATAGTATCTAGTTTATCCCTCAAATTTGATTGAAATCATAGATCCTAATATAAAGTCTTTATGGTCAAAATTATTTCGTATTATAATTTATTACTATATTATAACATTTTATTGTTCTTAATCCTTATCAGTTGTCCGTACTCCGTATAATATTGTTTTGGCTTTTGGGTCAACTTTATGATCAGTACACTTTCCAGACATTCAATTTACCGACACTACATAAGTCCGTCAATATCAAATTATATTATAAATAAGTTTGTATCAACAATTATTCAAAATTTCAATAAAATATTATATTATATTAGATTATGTTATTTATAAATTAATGTTACGTTCAAATTTATACAACTAAAAATAACACATTTGTCCGACAACATCAAGTCATAATAGTCATATCAGACCCATATGGTCGATCATCAATCCAGAATAGTCAACTTTACCCAGAACAATTTATAAACCGGTATTTTTAAATTACAATTATTATTTTACGATAGATATATTAATTAATAACATATTATTATCGTCATACATTATATTACTATGGAATTTTGAGTAATATCATTGGTAAATTCGATCAATTATTTTTGTGGGATTTATTATCATTAATTTTGAATTTATATAATAATGATCAAATAAAAACATCGGGTGTTTATGTTAAAAAACATTTTTTGACTTAATGTTAAGATTATATAATTGACACTTAAGATTTAACTACGTCAAGCGTATATCCACCAATATTTTTAGCAATATACCACTGAATGTACCAATACGGGTACCTATTTTAAAGATGACAGAATAAAATAATATATTGAGCTTACGTAATAATAGTTATCTGTTTGTCAAATTTCAGCCTGATTCGTCAGTCAGTCATCTTATCCTTACATATATATAGAGATATATTATATTATAAGTCATGATGTTTTGACTTTCATATACTTAAATACTTAGATACAAATATGTTGTTATTACAATATTAACTATGTCATACATCAGCTCTCTCGAGTTGTAGCAAAATAATGCACACGGCACACCTAATTATTTTCCACCCTCACTTATTGTTTTGATGGAACAGCCGCTGCTTAAAATCATTGCCAACACTGTACAGGTGTAAGGTGTATTCGTACATTAACCGTATATTACCCGTACATCCAATCAGCCTATAATAGTCAGTACAAACTACGGAGGAAAACAATAATAGAAAAGCAAAAACACACTTCAAAACTCCTCTGAATCTGTAGACCACGAACACCATCTATAGCAGAACATGTTCCCGATATAGACATATAGCTGATAAAGTACATTTGTAAATGTAATAATGTAATATTATAGGTTCACGCTCGGCGCGTGTAGTGCAGCGGGTAAAAGAGTTTACAGGGTGTTTGAATCAGCGGGTAGGGTGGGAAATTGGCAAACACATTACACAGCACAATATAAATTAACATTGAGTATTTGTGTGCATAGTGCATACATATACAGGATACAGAGACATTGAACCGTGTTTTACGTAAGAAGCAAAAATATGTATAGTTTAAACAAACACCTTATATGCTAATATGCTATTTGTATTTATCCATATTATCGTGAGTTTATGGTTTTTTTTTGTGTAACTCAAACAGTCAAACCTGACAATTGACATACTTTATATAATGTTTACGTATACTATTATGTCCATTAATCATTATGTATATTAGTATATTATAATTATTATTCTATCATACCAATTTTTCTGTTTTATTAACCCATAATTAAAAAAAAAAAAGGGATGAGTACCTACCCGGTACTCAATACCCATACTGCTATTAAATACTAATTGAAATTCGCAACACAATATAATCAGCACTCTTAGAAAAAAAACACAAATGATGTTTCAAGACATTATATTATGGTGAATTGGTGAACTTTATAATATATATATCAGTATATATATGTATACATAGGAGTTAGGACCGGGTTTAACTATAAGACTATAATGAGTGCATCAAAACCGTTTAAAATTCCTTAAATTCTAAAATTGCCAAGAACACAACGTTTTTAAAGGAGTAAACAAAAAGCTCACAATTGGACGACGAGACACTTAAAAAAGCGTAGATGATTGGTGATTTATTTGAAAAAATGATTAAACCACACAAAAGTTGAATCATATCTGCGATATAGATAGTTGATAATTCATAGCACAGTTCATTAGTAAACTGAACTCGAAAGCTGTTATATAATGTATGTATAATATTATTTGATCCGGTAAAATTGTAATTGGGGTAACATGGGTTGGGCACCTATTCGAAGCTTTGAATTAATATTCATTTGAGTTCTATTCATTTCGAATAGTAAATGACTCCAAGCGTTTTTATTCCGTTTATCCTGCTCTATTAAAAACTTCGTGCTACCCTCAGTCCTCGAGCCACTACTTTGCACGACCCGGGCAGAATCAATAAACGACGTGTATAGTAGTATAAAGGGTACAAAGCACACACACACACACACACACACACACACACACACACACACACACACACACACACACACACACACACACACCAGCGCGCTCGAGTATACGTATAGACTCGTGGGGTGGATGTGAGGGGTGCGAAACGGAAAAAAAAAGAAAATTCCAAGCAGCAAACTCTCGCCGATAATATAATCGTACAATAATGTATCTATGTGCACACATATATTGTATCAAATGGTTTTTTGCGAGCGGTGTTTCGAGCTCGTCGTGGGGGCAACACTGCGGTATCGAGCACGGCGCGCCGCCGACCGAGTACACCGCCGCCGACGCGGACGCTATTCGCACGCCGCGCCGTCGCCGCGCCACCGTATACGTCGGCGTACCGTATTTTTATTGTAAGCACCCGCCCGTCGTCATCGATCGCCGCTGCAGCCGACCCGCTGCCGCCGCCGCCGATACCATTCTCACCGGTCCCGCGAAAGCTGACCGTAGCGCGCGTACGTCAGTCTCAGTCATCGCCGAGCCCCCTTAACACGAGAACGCCACCTGACCGGTCACATCGTACCCGACTCGCAATTTTCTCGGCCACCGGGTCAATCGCATCCTCCGGCTGGTCGCGCCCCCCCTTTTAGAGAACAGCCACGCTCCGTTTCGCCTACCCAGGTACCCCCGGAACCCCGCGGTCGCCGCCATGGTCAAGCATAACACGGACACGAACGGCATCGGTTACGAATGGGAATACGCCAAAGTGAAGGACGACCGGACGATATGGCAGAAGATCATCATGGGCATATACAACCCGAGCTCGCACGAGTTTCTCGGACGGTCCGCCAAGAGTTGGGGTGAATATAACATCCATATTATTCGTCATATTGTATCTAATATACACGACGGAACGCGGCAAACCGTTACTGCGATACATATTTTATTAATAATACATATATTATATAATAACGACTGCAAACGACAGTCTCACGACTTGTGCGTGAGATGGACAGGGGTGGATGGTGAAATCCTACCTCGTATCGCTTTTAGAAGTATATGCAAGTGTGTTATGTCTCCTGCACATTTTGAATTTCATAACGAAATTATAATAGTAATTTAAAACCATAATTTGGTTAAATACTCATCATTAGACATCACGATTGACGCGACTACTATAAATATTGGCATTGCCATTTGCTAGGTTTGTTTTCTACCTCCCCTTACCATTAAGAAAATCATGTCTTCATCACTGGTCGTGCGTGTTATCCACGTATCACCGGCGTAACCACGCATTACTGTACCCCACCCAGACCACCCAACCCTAGCACCGCTACCACCCAGCCCTTAAACACGTACACCTTGCCAATAAGGAAGTGGCGTGCGGGAGACACGCTTTTATCGTGATGGTCTTGCGCAGGCTGGGTGCTTTCGGAATTGATTTCTTCCGATCCGATTTAAATATAAAACTCATCACTTGTACCTGCAGATGATGTATTCCATGATGAGTTGTGGTAATTGGGTCACCGGGATTACAATGGCTTTTGGAAATTTCTTGTCTTTCCAAGGGGAGGGGGGAGTTAAAAAAGTTCCATTCCTTTCGGTTTCTAAATACGCACTATAGATCTACGCACGTGGTTCACTCGGTCTAATATAGTGACTTTCTCGTATTATTTCACGTTTTTAATTTGCACCGATTATTTTTACGTGATTCTACACACATTACAAGCTGGTGGCACTCTCAAATAAAATCTATCGATAGCTTTCCTACATGTATAGTTGTTATTTTGCACCGCTGTGTGTTTGTAAATAAGTGAACATCGTTTAAAAGGGACCCCGGGGGCAGGGTGGCAGGGCCACAGGTAAACAGCTTGATATTATATATTATAGGATTGGTATAGTGTATGATTTACTGTACCAAATTTTGAACGAATGTGTGAGTGCCAGTAGCGAGGACGACGAATATATAAATGCTCCGAAAACATCATTCGCGATGATAATATAAGTCACAAAGCTGACCAACGCCGTCGCGTCGTCCCGTTTCTCCCGGCCAGCTGTTTATAGCAATATAGCTCCGTCGTATAAACGCGTCACAGGGACGTTTTCTTTCGTTTGTGGTCTCACCTAGTCGCCAGTAGGTACATTACAGTATGACACAAGTATATAGATAAACATGCAAATACACACACACGCACGCACACACACACACACACACCCACGCGCGTGCTTACACAGTGATAGTTTATTTTTGTATATGCATGGGTGGTGGTGGTGGTTGCGGAGGCTTTGTTTCTCCATCCCCTTAGAATTATTTTAACCACATTTTTTCCAAATATTTTCTTATCCATTTTTGATTATTTCGTTTTATTTCCACGAAAATCGTAACCACTTAGGCATAAACGGACAGAGGACGATTAGACTGCCATCATGACGTTAGAGCTTATTTCCGTGACACTAACGGGTCTGGCCGAGTAATACGACCCGTGTTATAGGGTGTTCCAGCTCGCACAAATCGATACCATAAAGCTGTGGTGGTGATGACCTACCAATAAAAAAGGTGAAAATAATTTACATAATATAATATCCATACAGATCTGTAGGGATTTTACAAAAAAACGATCGAACTCATACTACTAAGACTATCAATTTTATCAGCTTGTATAACCTCATCATGGCAAAATACCCGAACCACATATTAGGCACCTACTATTAGTATAAATTATAACAGTTGTAACGTTATAACCTGGTAATATCCATGTCGTTGTTATTGTGCTTTCATGCATAATATGATCTTCACTTCACGAAATATTAAAGGTCAATGTAAATATACTATGTTATAAAGATTACCTTACAAAAAAAAATGATATATTGACCATAGCCATTGTATATAATTTATAGTTTGTGTATTTACTTTGGGTTTGACTTTTTTCAAATCCATTATAATTGATTTTATCTTTTAAGATCCGATCGCAACGGTGAGTGTAACACTGTAACATATAATATGACGTATTTTCCGCACTATATATTATGCTTTCCAGCGAATTCGGAATGTAAGTGTTCGTGCGTATATGTGACATGTGTGTGTGTGCAGTTAGTTCATTTTATACGAGTAAACGTCGTGCCAATACCGTCTAAGAATAGAAGAAAAACACGCACTCGCACGAAGTATATAAGTATATAGTATATATTATATTCGTGTTTAGCAACACGCGCTTGCATCTTCCCATGATTTTAAGAACTGTGACTAAAAGTATTTCTAAGTTTAGAACAACCACCGCTAGTCTTGTTTCGTCGGATAAACTACGAGATTAAAATATCATATATCTACATATATATATTATTTATTTACGATGTATTATGCCTCATAAGATTTGAGTGATTTTATAACCTTCCCCTAAAATATTATTTTACAATTTTGAGTGTCCTTCGATACTCGTATCCTATATAGCAGCTATCACACAATCTTGCCCCTCATTCTGTTAATATTCTGTAATATCGGGCTGTGCAGTGTTTACGGATGGGATGAAGAGGACTGCAGTTACTCCGGGCGATAAATTGTTTATGGCATACACATTTGTAGTGTATTTTTTTAATGATGTATTGAGCTTTCCTACTTCTTACAAAATTATGAGAAATCTTGGTTCTTAAACTTAAAATAATACAGTGGACACTGTAAGCATAGGCACACAGCTAATCTATTTTGTAAGCATAAATCGTTTCAGTTCTTATCAAACCACAATAATGTCTAGTGCCTATATATATATACAAATACATTTGTAACAGTGTAACTATTATTACTTTTTTTGTAGAAGGTAGAAAAAAAAATCATCAGAGGGACAAAACTATAATAATTGCCCTCTGCACTGTGCAGCATCATTATGTTAATATAGTATGATGAATTTATAATGTATACAGTGTGTAACAGTCAACAGAAATACGTGACAACCTAAAAAGCGGGTAAGTGGGTAACGCTCTGGTGTACATTCGGTGTCATTGAAATGGATGCGTCAAATTTGAATTCAATGATAAAAATCATTGTATAGATGAAAAAAGATTCTAAGCTATGGCGGTCTGTCAGCCTAAAATATAGTGGGTAGATTTTATAATATTATTGTTATTTAAGTAATTTATTTAACTATACTATAATATTATATATATTATTCATTAGTTCTAATATATTAGGTTAAATTCATTTTTGTCGAAAAAATTGCATTTGAAAATGTGATTGTGTGTATAAAATATAATAATATATCTACTCTGAAAGTTTCAAAAATACCCACGAATAATATTTTTCAATTATAATTTATAACAAAATAATTAAAATCGTCTTAGTTTAAATATGTAATTACGTCCAAATTTGAACTTAAAATAACTATAAAAAAACTTTGTTTTTATATATATTTAGATTTTTTGGTTTAATTAACTGCACACAAGCAAGAAAATATATCAGGAGCCTTGTGTTAAATTTTCAAGCTTTTAACTCAACGAATTCAATTTTATTAAAATTTATAGCATAAAAAAAACTAAAAAAAAATTGAAAATTAAAAATGTCTATAAAGGCTCTAAACATGTCAAAATATGTTGAACATTTTATTTAGTATAAAAAATGATAAAATAACCATTATGAAAATGTCAAGTAACTACGGTTAATAATTTTTAAAAACAACTAAATAAGAAAATCGTTGTAAGAGAATTGTAATTTGTTAATTACGGGTGAATATCAAAAGTCTAACTTCAAACGCTAATAAAAATTAAGTTGACTTTCTGGTAAACTTTTTTCTCTTGCCAAATGTAGGGAAACCTAAAGGAGTTTTGTATTAAATTTTCAAAGTATAGATATTATAAATAGACAATTTTTTATGAATTTCTAACTAAAAATAATTTGCAAATTTTCGTGATTTTTGTCAAAATTTGAACTTCAGACTCTTATAAAAAGTTATTGTGAACTTCCGCTCACCTTTTTTTTTAAATTTCCACTAATAACAACTTACGAGGAACCTCGTATTATATTTTCAAGTTTTTTTTGACCTAGTGAAAAGTTTTTATCGACACTAGTTTAAAAAAAAACAAATAATAATCGAAAATTCTATATGCCTATAAATAGTCTAACAAGAGTCAAAATATTTTGAAAATTGTATGGTGTATAGAAAATGCTAACACAACATTCAGTGAACATTTCATGCATCCATGGTCTGATGGTAATTTTTTTAGAGTTACACTAAAAATCAAAATCGATTTTTCCAAAAACTGGTTTTGGGTAAAAATTCTTGTTTTCCCTTTGGCTTTTTGTTTTTTTCAGGTGCTTTTGAAAACTATTGGGAATTTTAAAATTTGACCTCCCGAGTGCACCAACTGAATTCTCTTTCCTACCGGAAAAGATACTAAAGTTGTAAATCAAAGCATAATTTACACTATGGTTTACTATAAAAATTGATCTACAAGTTTTTAATTTTTCCTATAACAATTTATTAAATTTCAATTTTTCCTATAAAAATTTATTAAATTTCAATTTTTTATTCTAAGTATTAAAAAATAAAGTAATAAATGTTATGGGTATTGTACTTATAGCGCGAGCGTCTGTAAATTATATATGAAAATGTTTTTTTTAAATATTGATTAGAAAAAAAGTTATTTCATTTGTCAGGTTATTCTGTTATACCTTGTTTAAAATAAAAGATATAGTCGTTTGTTCCACTAAGCGTCATTATTTAATTTGTCGTGTAAATGTACACCTATACTTTGAAGTTGTATTAAAAACATGACCACTTATTCCGGGTTGTATGAACTATCACTAAACATTTAACAAATCAATAGTGAGCTAATGGTCCTTTAAACATGATTTAGAGGTCCATGATTGGTCCATTACATTTTATTGGACCGATAAATAAATATATTTTTCATGCAATCCGGCAACAGAATATAATTGCAGCTTCGTAGATACACAATAGTTAAGTGCAGCGTGTAGGTAGTGACATAGTGTATGACATAACATATTATAATATTATACGTAAATACGAGAAGGTTTGCTTTTTCCCCCTGTAACTTTAATACAACGTATTGATTTTACTGACGTTCCAGACTTTGACTAGTATTTGCCTTACAGACCATGTTACTCATGTTTTATATTATTATTCATTATACTTAAAAGTTACAGCTCACGTCATAGTTGATTGTAATACATAATATTGTAATTGTAAACATTAAAAATTATGTACCTAAGTCATTTCATTATAGTATTAAATTTATATTACCATCATAAACTTAAGCACACTAATGTAATAGTTGTATAATATAGTATCACAACTTTTGAATTTAGTAGGTATTGAACATTTAACAAAATCTTAAAATCCTTATAGTTTTGATGAAATAAACCAACGAATGTTGCCAAGTCCGTACATTTCCATCGATTATATACTATAATCGTCTCTTAAAATAGGTTAGGTTTTATTACGAAAAGCCTAAAATACTTAAAAATACGAATTAAGAATAAATGCTATATAACTAATACATTCGATGATTTATATCTAAGCAGTTAAATGTGCTAGAAAATAATTAATGGAATAACAAAAGATGAAATTATGAAATAAGTTTTATTTTGTACGTTTTTAGACATCGGTATGACATTTGTTATTACTTAAGATTTTCAATATTGGTTTTGTATTCCATAAATAAATGCGAAATGACGCCCCTGGGAAAACTTGCATATTGCATAATAATATAATATAATATATAGGTATAGTATACCTAACAGATATTTATAATTTATATTATGCAATATGAAATATACACAGACTACAGAGTTGGGCAATATACCAAAAGTATGTATTTAGATATTAAATACAAACATTAAATTTCAAAAGTAATACAAATATACTAATTACAATTTACAGATAGTTTTTATGACTTAGAAAATATTAAATACAAACCTATATGATTATATTTATTAATGGCAAAGTGCCTTCGATAAAGAGTTTCTTTAATGAAATACCACCGCAGACATAAATTCCTTAGAATTATATATAGACATTTACAACAGCTATTCAGCGTATTGAAGGTATTAATGTATTATTATTTGTTATTAATACCAATAAGTAATAATACTATATACGTGCAGACTGTTTAGTAGTTTGAATGATTTATAATTGGAAATATATTTTAGAATTAAAAAATTCATTAAAAAAAGTAAATTATATCACAACAATGTGGCTTACTTATAAAGTTAAATAATTCGGGTGGTAAGAAAAAAATCCAGAAGGTAAAAATACCAACAACTATAGTTATTATTTATCTGCAGTGCCGGCTCTAGTGATTTTCTATACTATGTAAGCAAAACCTAATTTTGCCGCCCACGTAATTTGATCATTCTTTCGACAAATAAATAGAAGATAAGATAAGAAAACTATGTATAAAAGTGTACATAATATTATGTGGGTAGATTTATTGACACTTATTTTTAAAACAAATCCAAAACTTGAACTGTCAATAATGTTTTTAATTACTTTTATTATTATTTATTATCAATACATTCAAATCATATTATAAATCAAAATTATCTCTTTGTATTCCTCACGCTTTTGAAAACTCCTATTGATTTTCCATGACTTTGACCTCTAAAGTACTAACTAGATTCACTTAACCACCAGAAAAGATATTGTGGTTTAAAATCGGAGCATTATTTCGATTACTTATCGTGTACACACATACAAAATAGTAAAATAGTAAAATCAATACACATTCATCGCTCCACTTAAAATCTAAAAAGTGTAATGTGATGAAGGTATAAAACTATGTGTATTATACAATCTAAATATTATCGCCATACGGATCATATAACTTTTTTTTTAATGAATAGTACTCACAATTTTTATACAATTGATATATATTATAACAAAGATACAAAGACGGCTTGAGTGAAGGGTAGTGTCCATTGATACTACTTCAAATAACTATTGAACTTAAATTGGATAGGTATGATGCATGGTTCAAATTTAATAATAAAAAATTAAAACAGCATTTAAACCATAGGCTAAAATTTACCATCATTTTAGAGGGGCTGATATTCTTAAATATTATATTGTATATCTATGTATTATAATGTTTATTGTTTAATGTATAATGTTGTTTTATGTATTATCTCTGTAATAGTCGAGCTGTCATAGTTGTATACTAATAGCTAATAAAAAAAAAAAAAAAAATATTGTATATCAAAGCCGTGCTCTCTGCACTTGCAAAAATCATTTTACCAAATACCATGCAAAATATAAATATAATATATTTTAGATATTCTATATCATAAAATTTATGCGTAAGTTATATGTATGTATATCGTATATACTACATTTGCACTCGTGAATATATACATTATAAGTATATAAATTACATTTTTAATTGAAAAACAATAATAATAATTATCATTTATACATTTCAGGAGGAATTCTACTATTCTATGCAGTGTTTTATTCAAGCTTGGCGTGTATGTTCGGCATCTGTATGAAAGTGCTACTATCTACATTGAACGACCATACGCCTCATTTCACATTGACCAGCTCGATAATCGGCACAAACCCTGGTACGTAAACTTAAAACTATCTTGTTCCATTAAACGAGGTTATACTCGAAGTATTTTCGTGCATTCTATTATGTTGGCCTATTTATAATTTTGTCAGCATACATTTATTTGATCATAGCTAAGTGTAGGTATAATTGTCGTATTATATTTAAACCTATAAATAGGTTTTACTACAATAAGCGCATTTCTCACATGGATTAGTTTATTAATTATGTTCCTAATATTCAAAAATATTCTTCAATTCATAATAATTATTAATTACCTAATAATTCATAATACCAATACAATATCATGATAATTATTTTAAAAAAATATTAATACATGAGTGCAGTAGGAACACAGTAGTCGGTTTTCTTCCGGATGAACCATATACTTTTAAATTCATCTTTGATCAATTATTAGTTTATACCTATGAACATTATATACTTACTATACAAGCACGCAATACGCATAAGTACTTATTATAAAATGACTAAAGATTAAATGTGTTTTACAGGACTAGGATTTCGACCCATGTCCCCGAACGTCGAAGATGGCTCACTGATTTACTATGCAGCGGATAATGCGACTAATGTAGAAGCGTGGACTACTGAATTAGACAAATTCCTGGCTGGTTAGTAAAACAAAATGACCACTTAATATATGACAATTATAGGCGTAGTCAGTTATCTTTTACTGCATTGTGAATAAAAATGTCTACTCCGGGTAAAATTGAACCAACTGATTTATAATCTATATACCATCATTAAAATAATTAAATTAGTATACTTAACTAAAATTTAATATTGTAAAAATGTTGCAATGTTATCATAGCAACAATTTTTTTTAAAAATATAATATTATAATGTACCTAATTTTTTACCAAATCACCCATCTTATCAAATGTGTCTATATATTTTCAAAGATTCTGGCACTGAATTGATTTTTTTATACAGCCTTGAGGCAATGATGCATAGCATTTCCACACTTGCTAGCTCCTTCTATAGATGTTGCTCTTATAGCTTATAGGTAGTGCAGAAATTATAATCTAAGTCTTTTGAAATGGTTTCAGTATACAAGAATAAGACACTATTGCCAGACAAAGGTAATAACCAACAGAAGTGTGGTTACAATATGCCACCACAAAAGGACAAGGTTTGTGAAGTCAGCTTGGCCAACATGGGACCATGCGCATCCGAATACAAATATCAATATCATAAAGCTCAGCCCTGCGTTTTCATTAAGCTCAATAAGGTTAGTATGTATTATCATTAACTACCGTTAATATTAACAATAATTCCGAATTTGTGTGCGCCAAATGTTGTATTATTACGCTATAAATGTAGTTTCAAGTAAAAACCCTACATTAATCTCAATAAAAAAATATTAAAAACTTTAATATAAAATCAACCAACATGTACCCATAGACAAAAATGATACTACAGTCGAGTATGGTACGTAGTTTTTATTATTCGATTATATAAATATTCTGTAGATTTTCGACTGGGAACCAGAATTCTACAATAACAAGACAGACATTCCAGCTGACATGCCACACGAACTTAAAGAAACAATTGCACAAAGAATGAAACACGAGGTAAATTGTTTCAGAATAATTGCCGATGAAACTTAATTGATATTATCAAATACTAATTATTTTTCATGTTTACATTCTAGTTGTTCACAATTTGGGTTACCTGCGACGGAGAAGCACCGGCAGACAAAGATAATATTGGGCCACTAAAGTTATATCCACAGGACGGATTTCCCGGCTACTACTACCCATACAGAAACAAGCACGACTATCTTAGCCCATTAATCGCCATACATTTCCTAAATCCAAAAAGTGAGAGAGATAGATAAAATATTTTTGTTCAATAATGTTAATTTAGTTACCTATTTCTAAACATTTATTCTTAGATGAATCAAATGGGTACCTACTTAAGTGTGTATAATGTATTAATCTATACACTTAACATATATACATAGTTTTATATACAGAGGAATTTACCAAGCATAATCAACCCCATTTTTCTTTAATAATGAGTTTATTCAAATTTTGATGTCTTGAATCTTTTTGTACTACTTAAGGAGTGTCCTGGTGTGGCTTTACAGACTTCTATTTTATTTGTTTATGCTAAGGATAAAAGTCATTAAAAATGGTTTTACAAAAGTATAAAATAGACGTAATATTGGAACTAGTTTTCATTATACATGGACCATTTTTACATGTTGATGTTGATAGATTAATATCAATGACTAAAATCGTCTAATCAATTGATATTAATCTTATAAACCCATTATCGATGGATCTTTTATTCTTAGAACACGAAGTTAAATAAAAATAATTATTCTAAATAAGCAAAATAGATTTGAAAAAAGTAAATATGCAATGAAGGAAATGTCAAAAAACAAATTTGATTCTTACTCGAGATGTTTTAAGGTTTAAGAAAAATGTAAACGTTAGAACTTGCGAGGTCTATAATTATTACTGTTATTTGATATTTCTAAGGAAAATCGTACCTAATATATGATATTTCAAACTAATTAACCGGCATCTTTCGTTTGATTCGTTGCAGGACACACTTTGATCAATGTGGAATGCCGTGCCTGGGCCAAGAACATATTTTACAAACGCAGCTTGCAAAACCGCGAAGGTTCCGTTCACTTTGAATTGATGATCGACTAAAGTTGCAGGCTCATAGTCGACAATTACGCCATTATACCATTCGCTTTGTTCTCAGTTTTTTGGTGCATCACAAAACACAGAACATAGCCCGTTTATTTTTAGTTCTATATCGTTGTATTAATCGGTTTAAGTGAAATCCCAGCAAAACGCGTTTACTCCTTTTATATAAAAAAAAAATAATAACGTTAGGAATTTTTTTTATTTTATTTTTTTTTTTTTGGCTTAGGAATGTTTCTTAAAGTTAAACATACATTTATATGTTATACATTAATATTAATAAATAAAATAAGAGCACAGCAAAGTTAATTAACAAACTTATGATTCAAGCTTTAAAAAACGCTGTGCAAATTCACAGTTAATCGATATGTATTCATCTGACGACTTCAATGATTATCACTGCCTAACTTTTTTTTATCATATCCCATAAGAAAGTGTACCTATAGGTATTTTTACCGTGAATAATATATCTGGCTCGTTAATTCATTTGGCTTATTTTAATAAGCAAATTCGGATATAATCAATGCAAGGTAGGCGATCTAATGATAAGATGTAGGAAAATGTTCCAATAAAAAAGTTAATATTATTTGAGACAAACCCCAGATTTATAATCCAAAAAAATTAAAATTAAAAATTAATTATGTAATTCGAATACTATTCACACACCGTCGTCAGTCTCTTTAAAGTGTTCACTTTAAAGGTAGTAATCGCCACATATGCGGTTATTGGAATTTTTTTTAGGGGAGGCTAGCATTAATAACATTTCAAATTAAATAGGCCCATTCCCCATATTGACATGATTCTCGGATGTATATATAATTTCATTTGAGAAACGGGGGGCATTGACATTTCTGGTGGTCTAATCGCCCGAAAGCTCCACATCGATGACCTCCTCGATGGCCATTATGTGTACGATCATATTTACTCGATATGTTTACAAAAAAAGTTAACTGCAGAAGAGCGATACCTATCCAGTGGTGTCATTTCGGGCATTATGAGACCAGGACAAAATTTTTACCAAGCCTTTAAAAAAATGATAAAAAATGCTTATTCCTCCCGCAGTTTTTAATTTGTATTATAGGTACATAGGTATATTCCTATTCCAATCATCGGCTTTAATCGCACCCATTGGATATTTGCCTGTAATTTGACGGCGCAATTTAAAAAATATAATACCTACGCACCAACCGCAGCCAACAATATTAAATTGAAAATTACGTTTTTAATATAGATATGGGCAAAAAAATATTAAATTTTATATAGTATATAACAAGTTTTTCTTTAGCAGACCTGCCATTTGTGAAAATCGGACCTGTAGGCATTTAAAAAAATTAACTCGATCAAATCCACCAACCACTCCTCCCAGAATGACGCGACAGTAGGTGCCTATCATAGCCCTCCAGGTACCTTGTCTAGGTATTTTATCTCTTGATGTCGTCTCTCATCAGTCTCATCTCGCGCACAGTCGCATGCCTATATTATGAAACTCGTAGGTACTAGGTAGGTAATGCGTGAGTCACATTTTAAGACGTTTTAATGTTTTCGTGTCTGTACTAAGTATACATAAAAATATTATGCTTTTTTTCTCCCCTCCCATAGTCTAGTGAAAAAGTCTATAAGCGACCACACAATAATACTGTAATACAATTTTATAATTTGTGGTTATAATAAATTGTTATTTATGTATACCTAAATATAAATATACTTTTATATTAGAATCGATGAGGTTCATCAATCCATCCATCTCAAATATCTACATCGATACACATTAATATTATAGGCAATGTTGGGTAAATGGCTTTTTAAAAGTAATTTCGTTACGGTAATTCGTAATTTGCGTTACGCGTCGTGTAATATTACGTACTAGATAGGTACCCAACATTGATTATGGGTAGGTACTATGGAACGGAATAATCGCATTTGAGAAAATTACTAATTACCTATATAATATTATTATTTATTTATTTATTATTATTATTTTTAATAATATTAATAAACATTATACATATAGGTACTTGCCTATTTAATCGTAATATGTTTTAAGCTATCGTTGCAATGTAATGACCGAACTTAAGGTTCATTCTCGTAATTATTATGCATACATTCGTACATTAGATTAAAGCAAATAACTATTATATATACCTATACAATATATATATATTATATATTATTATATTAAGGAAGTTATTGATTATTTAAAATTTTAACGTGTTGACGTAGCAAGCTAAGTAAAATTGCATATTTTAGGAGAATATAGTGTTTTAAGTCGAATAGTGATGTTATACCTGTTTCGTTTAATTCAGTCAAGTGTAATATTATATTATGTAATATGTTTAGGTACCAATTATTTATAAGTGTATAACGTGTATGTAATAGTAGTGCGGGGGGACTGAGGTTGATGATTTTATTATTATAAATTTATATGTATGTAAACGGAATCATATAGATTATAGAACTCGTTAATGTAGATGTTCAGCAATTGTTTTATTTATCATTTAGTACTTACCTATCTCTATTATACTTTGTGTCATTTTGGCCATGTTTGTTGTGAGGGGTGATATCAATGAAACCATTACCCTTCTCCCACAAAAAAGAAAAAATGTTGGTTTATATCATGAACACCTCTCTTTTCAACCATTGTCGTCTGTATAATGTAAGTATGCGTGTATAAATTATAAGCGAATCATAAATAATTACTGATGTAGGGAGGTACTTTTAATAAAGCCATTATGTAGATTCTCAGAATAGTTTATGTAGGTGTAAAATACTAAAATAATCGAAATAACATCAAAAGATTATAACGTTGTAACTAAGTCTGACCGACGAATTTTTACTGCATCGTTGTTCTTAACTCGGTGAAATACATTCAGCAAATCGGTTGGAACCCAAACCATTTAGAACATTATATATTATGCCTAAACTGTATTGTTGCGCCGTGTTTCAAAATATTTGTCAATGGTGATTACTGATTAGTGTTTACTATACGAATAAAATATTATATTATATCTTAGTTTTGTACAGTCGTACAGGCCCAAAGGCACCAAACTCTGAAATTGTTTGTGAAGTGAATTCTAAAATTTGTATCCAACCGGCTACCACCAACCAAAACTTTCCTGCCAATTAAATTTAAGAAGTCAAGCGACCGCGTCACATGGATATATTATGAGTTCTGCGTCACTGCAGTTACATCCAGCATAGAGGTGTCAGGTTTTTACGTACCTACTATTTCTATAAAATATACTATATAGTCACTTATACAGTAATAACTATTTTTATTTTTATTTTTTTAATTAGTAATATACAATCTGTAAATTAACTTTTTACAATAAGAATATGAGCTAGAATTAATTAAGTATGACACGAATCGCATGATAAAAGAAGCAATTCAGCGGCTACACTTTACATTGATTTAGTAATTGTTAGATTTTTTTTTTCTAATACTATTTTTTTTTTTGCGATTAAGAGTTTAAGTCACGGCACCATCTTCTCTTAAGTCTTCTTTGGGGATTCCCAGGTATTGTATCTGTATTAAGTGCTGAGATTAGTGGGTTGGGGTGGTTCTCTAATCGTAAACGATAGTGTTTATGTAATTATGTATAATAGACGACATTTCTGACACAGTTTTAATGTGTAGGTCTGTGTGGAGTGTGTAGTTGGATACATAAAAGGGGGCCTTAGTTATCATGCGTAAGTAATGACTATAAATAATAATATTTATGGTTAAATAAGTAGTTAAATATTGTTTGCCAATTAAAAAAAAAAAAGTCATAGAAGGGCACGATGCCCAGATCCCCTCCTTTAATTACACCGCTGCTGCTGGCTGAAACTTTAACTGAGTACGTAGTACTTTACTGCAAAGGCGTCGATTGCCGAATGTAAGTGCATTGAATTCCATACCTATATATGTGCCTCGAAGATGCATTTTATATACCTTACTGACTTCTTATTGAAACTGTTAGATGCTTTTTTAATAATACAAACAATAACATTATGATGGACTAATACATTTTAGATTCTGAATGTATTGTTTTTACAATGGTGTGGTTTTTTTTACGAAAATTATAGACTGAAATAATATAATAGGAATAATATATCATATTCCGTGGTAAAAACTTATGTAGATCCTTAATATTTCTACCTAACTTTTATATTAGGTATCAATTTATATTTTATATACAAAGTATTATTTTTTAAATATTTTGACTGAAATTTTTGATTTTTAACAAAATCTTGAAAATGAGCCCATTATTTTGTAGTTTAAAATGTATAAAATGTTCAATTTTTATACTCCACTTATAATAACATGTATGATAAACCTTGTGTTCAATTTTTAAATCTTAGGTATATCGTATATGAATATTAAAAATGTTTTAAATTTTGAACTACAAAAATAATTTGCAAACAGTCTCAAAAATTGACTATTAATTATCAAATATTTTTGAATTTAATAGTCTGAAAAAGCCGTTTCCACTATTTATGAAAATATCGATTTCACGTAGTGGCTACGTATTTATATGCTACGTGAAAATCGGCAAAACACAATATAACATTATTATTACTGTTTTTTATTACGTGTAGTATAATATTGCGACCAGAACTCCAGAAATTATTTAGTTTCTGTATTTTTAAGTTCATGGTGAGTCACCCTTTTAGGGAATTAATAGTAACGTATGGCACTTTGAACAAATATCTATTGATATAACATTAATTGAAATAAATGTAGCAGTTTGCATGCTTACTTGAAGTACAAAATGTACCTATACATAGACTCATTATTGACATTTGACATTATAATAAATTATTGAAATCAGTTATAACAACTTTCCCAAAAAAACATGAAAACAAATTTTGTTAATTCTTTGAGCGAACTCTATAAAAATAAGTATCATCATCTATCAAAAATAAGATCTGATAAAAGGCATAGAGGGCGGTGGTAAACTCTTCAGGGTGGCAGAGTTCATTGTATGGTTACCAGAAGGAAATATATATTTATATATTTACTATTAACTTAGATGTAGACTATACTAAATAAAGTAAAAATACTAAAGTTAAAAAAAAAATAGATTAATGTATACATTTTATAAACTCGTATACTTTTTAAAAATGTGTACTCTCATATTATTATAAAAATTAAATTTCAATGTACCCATTCAATTCAATTAAAGTTTTTTTTATTTTATTAATTCCTCGACCATAATTATTATAGCTCACTGCTAAAGAAATTGAGTTATATTATATTCTTTTATTATTTACAAAAATGTAGCTATATATACGTTGACCTAATTGACTTTTTTTAGATGTGTATGTTAATATTATACTATATATAAATACATATATTATGATATAATGTAAAAACAATGTTATTACAGAGTTGGGAGAATTTACATTTATACCCTACTGTTAGTAAGTATTCTGAAGTAGACCCAGGATAGCTTACAGTTTATTCAAATTGGAAGAGCTTATACACAACTACCTGACAAAGAAAATTACCAAAAATGCATTTTACCAGAAAACTGTTTTTTTTTTCGAAAAAACTATACATCATATACATCTAGTCAGAGACGTAGACAGTAGACGGTATTAACCTTTTTGGCATCTGATGAACAGTTCCGAGTTCAGAGCTTTCTTTTAAGAATAACTATTGACTATGATATGGGTTGGTAAAAAAAAACAAAAATATTTATAATGCAAACATATATATTTAGGTAATTTTAATTTTAATCAAGTAACATTTAAAAAAATATATAATTTTCTACTTGAATTTTGTTTTGCAAATGTGTTTATAATGTCATCAAAGTTCATATCTATGATGGTAAGTGCAGATTAAACAGAGAGAATCGATAACCCATTAAGACGATTATCAGTCCTTCTGAACCTCAAATAATGATTTAACTCCCGCCAGTGTTCAATTATCCAACTATCGGAAATGTTGGGTGTGCAATTCAAAGGGGGCCCTCGATCTCATATAATATACTCCTAGTTTCTACTATAATCTGTAATATACCTACATATGTTATATTACTTGTTTTAATATAAAACAATAAATTATAATAATATTGAACATTGAAAAAGTAAAAACAGCTGAAAAGGATATTAAAAAAATATTAATCAATTTTCGGCAGTAAAAACAAGAAGAGTTAAATATTATGTTTGATTTTACATAAAAATGTAGGTACATAACTAATAATTATTAACTACCTATGTCACTATGACGTGTAAGATTTTAGATTTTGAGCATAACGATAAGTCGATGAATGTATAGGTACTCTTTGCAATGTTTTTTTTTATTTGTGTCTGTGTACACGGCAAGTAGTCGAAATAACACTTTGATTTTCAACTTCAGTATCTTTTCTGGAGGAAAGTTAATCTATTTTATGCATTCAGGGGGAGGGGAGTCAATATTTTAAGATGTCTAGTAGTTTTCAAAAACAAACAAAAAATAAAGAAATAACGAAAAATGTTATCGGTTTTGGCCAAATCAATTTTGATTTTTGGTGTTACTCCAAAATAAAAGACTGCAGTAGTTACATGAAACTTTCACTGAATGTATAAATGTATTTTCTGTACACTTTATAGGCTTTGAAATTTTCGGTAATTATTAGTTTTTTTTTTAAACTAATATCGATAGAAAAAAATTTGCTAGGTCAAAAAACTTGAAAATGTAATACAAGGTTTCTCGTAAGTCGTTATTAGTGGAAATTAAAAAAAAAGGTTCGAGTCCAAGTATCTTGTTAGTATAGGCCCATTTAATAGTGCTGTGAGTAAGCAATAATAAAGCAGTGACCAGAGGAATCAATTTTGAACTTTGTCAAGTCGTAGACTCGTAGCATATCCTTTTTTGTGTATGGGGACCACGCAATTGAGCCGTATTCAAGTAAAGACCAAATTTAAAATAATGTAAAATTAAAAGTTTGAGCTTCTATTATTTCGACAAAGCAAGCCGACCGGCGTTCTCAGCCGAGGTTGAAAACGTGTCGTATACATGCGTCGTCTTTATCTACTCCGATATAAGACAATGCACTTTGAATTTGGCGTAAAACACAGTGTAGAGCCCCTCGTGGATAATGCAATTGCTTAGACCAAGACATTTTAACTATTTTATTTTTAAAAAAAATGTTAATTTGTGTATATGAATGTATAGTTAATAATTGCAGTAGGTATTTTTTTATACTAAATTATTGATGACGTCTTTTAACGAAAATTCTAAATTAGCATATAGTTCTAAGTTATATATTATATAATAGGTGGGGGGAGGTCATTGTTTAAATACTTTGCTTATGGTTTGAAATATGCTCGCCACGCCACTGTGGGCACCATAAAAACATCCTGAATGCAATATACATCTATGTAAGGAAACAGCAGTGGTAGATCAAGTGCTTAATTTTGGGGGGGAAAAAGTACAGAACAATATTATACAACATCTACACAATACCTCACTGTACTTATATTTTATAATTTATACAACAAATTCTAAGCAACGTTTATGTTTATTGGCAAAGCGGTCTATGACTGATTGTATTGAGTTATTTACATTTATTTCCCTATGTGGCTAATATATGTATATGTAATCAGTGCCGGATTAAGTGTTTCACAGGCCTTGAGCCAATAAATCAGACGGGCCTGATTGGCCATAAGGAGGAATAAAAAGGGGTTTACTACAAATTAAGAAATTTCATTTTTTAAGTGTTATTTATGAATATAATTAATAATCGTGTCAAACACATTTTTAAATTATAGTTGTATACTAAAATAGGTATATGTATATTTATATATAAAATTAGTCACTGTCATCGTTGAAACTATTCACTTGTCTCTCCTCAGTCATCTTCATCTATACATAATTCTTTTTTTTCTGGCTATTTCATTTGAAACATCTAAGTCTAGAGATTTTATAAATTCACTCTTGATGCTCAAAATTCCAAAATTCTGCAGATTATTTTGTGATAGTGAAGATCTTAATGCAGTTTTTAATAATTTTAATCGGAAAAAAGATCTTTCACCAGTACAATTGATACACATAAGGAAAAGATATAAGCTTAATAACATTTCAACATTTGGAAAACTCTCAGTCACATTTAAATCAACTATCATCTTACACATGTTAAGCAAAATATTCTTACTCTTATTTTCGTTCGTAGTAATTAATAATAAAGACGTTGATGAAAAACTTAAAAACTGTTTAAAGTCATTTGTAAAATCGTCAGGGAAATCTTTTGGATACCTTTTTAACAAATTGTTCATTCCTTCTTGTATTTCTTTGATTTCCATGTCCATTGAAATTTTAGATAATAACTTAAAATTATTTCTCACACAAGTATAAGCGTTAATTCTATGTTCTAGAGCAGTCATGCCCAACCCGCGGCCCGCGGGCCACATGTGGCCCGCCAAGGTATTCCATGTGGCCCGTTACAAATTATTAAAATAAAACAAAATATTCCAAAAAAAGTAAAATTATTACAAAATACGATTTTAATTAATTTATAAATAAAAAATACAAAAATAAAAATAAAAAGTATATAAAAATGTTTTTATATTGCAACCTACTATGTGTACCTAACTAAATTGTATTAAGATTGAGATTATGAGTACTTTTATATTTGGTGGCCCGCTCGATTACAAATGTTTACCAAAGTGGCCCGCCGAGGAAAAAAGGTTGGGCATCACTGTTCTAGAGCATGTTTCTAAGTTTCTTTCAGCCGATGCTACTCCAACAGGCATTATAGATAATAATTGAAGAAAAAATGTTATGCTTGGAAAAACAACATTACAACAAAAAAAGGTTTCAATAGCATTATCGGAAATTTTTCAATGCTTTGTAATATGGTCTATATGAGTGTATGGGCTCTAAGTTAAAAAACCGTTCACGTATCATTTACATGGTTTATCACTGATATTGAATTGTATTATAGATCACCTAACTGAATTAATGGTTAAATAAATATTTGATGGATTATGAACAAAAGTAAGTATAAGACAAAAACACATAAATAGAAATAGAAAAAATAAAAAATAATAACTAGACATAAATATTAACTTACATTTCATTTATATATTATAATTTTTATTTAAGTATAATATTAAAAATTAATAGCACATACATTTTTGGCAAAACTGTTACACAAATGATAGCCAAATTATAATTAATTGAACTATTCACTATCACAAAAAACTGATAAAATACATATTTATATAAGTATTGGGTAGATTAGTTATATCCAAGTAAGCATTGGTAATATATTTTGTTTAAATGAAGAATAATTTTCTTCATATTATTTTTTGATAGTACATGGTAAAAAATGGTAATTGATTATATTTTTCTTGAAGTCAACAAAAAAACCAGAAAGTCATAAAACATAATATTTAGATAATTAAACAGTTGTTCAGAATAATTTGATTATTTATGTATATTTTTGTATCGAATGTACAGAGTACTCAAGTGCTCTTTATCATACTTATACTTAGCTTAAACTATACACTTAAATAGGACAAATATCTATTAATGTATATTGTATAAATAAGTAGATTCTTTATAATATGTACATTACAAATAATTAAAAACATCAAAGGAAACATATTGTTCACTTTAGCTTTTGCTAAAATAAGAAAAAGCAAAAAAAAATTTTTTTAAACTATTTTGTGATTGTTCATTGTGTAATAACATCGATAATATTAACCTGGGTTTCCACAACTAATAAACTTGCCATTTAAGAAATCAAAAAGGCTAGTAATTTATGTATAATTTTTTCAAGTATATTCAATAGTAAATTGATAGTGTCCTTGAATTGTGACACATTACCAACAATCATCAAAAGACTCACCAGTGATAACCAATTATACAAGTTTATTTATAAACGGCATGGCAAGTGTGCACAAATGATGAATATTTGGCAAGTACACTGTTTGTGGTAACCCAGCTTTTTGAATATTTTTGGCCCCAGTATAAAGGACAAAATTCTACTCTAGATACAATTAAAATTAATGTTTGGTCATGTTAAGCTCTACAGGGACAAATAAAATTTGGTTTTAATACTAAATATAACAAAGAAAAAAAGATAGAAAGTAAATATGTAGAAATAAACTATAAAATTAAAACTTATAATATAAATTTTGAGCTTGTTATATTTTCTTTACTTTATTTATTCTAATAAAAATATTTGATGATGCTGAACCTTACAACAATAGATATTAGATAATATTTTCATTGTTTTGTTCATTGCATTAAAACTAAAATCACCACTATTATATCATAATAGTTAACATTAGTGCATCTAACAGTAAATAGCATATTATAAAATGGACTTAAAATACTTCAACTTAAAATGTATATATATTATATATATTATAAAGAGAGATTCACAAAATCATTTCATTAATATTAAATTAAGCTACCTATCAGTATTAGCCGATAACAACATAATATAATCTATTTTTTTTTAGAAATTGCACTCCTTCGACTAACACGGCCACAAAACAAACCAACTATAAATATAAGTCCCGTGAAAGTGAATAAAACAACTATTAGGTATTTCTTAGAAGGTGATTTGGCAACTTGTCCGTACAGCTGTTGTAAACTCTCTGGATAAATCTACAAAATTGAATTAAAATATTATAATTGCAATCAAATAAAAAATGACAGGAAATCATGAGGTTCAAAAGTATTTAAGTAATGAGTGCCAAAAATTGATTACCGCACTACATACAAATAAAGTAAGTATAATATTAATATATGTTTAAATAGTGAATAATGTAAACAAATGAAATGGACAATTTATATTTCTATGAACAGAGAATATTTTCTAACCAATGCTTTAGCGTTCTTAAACATTTCCATCCTCTGCAATAGCATGTCGTGACACTTGGCACTGAGCGTTTTAGTTTTGGATTGAACAACAGTTTGTAGGCATTGTAAATCTGTTAAAAAAAAGGTAATTTTAGATCAGATGATGAAATGTGACACATTTTTAGACAATTCTTGTAGTTTTTAAAAAAATGTTTATTTAATATATGAAGTGCATTAGAAAACAAAATACGTATTATTTGTTTTCCAATTAATTTTTACTTAATAAAACAATATTCTCAAAAAAAAAAAAAAAATGTTTTAGAAAATTGTTTGTACAAATGTTGACTATTACTTATTGGTCTATTTTATTGCTTAAAGACATTTCAATTTAAGATAAGATAAGAACTATGACAACTAAATGGATACTTAGAAAAATTTAACTACACTTCTCTAAATCACTTAAGTTTAATTAAAAATTATATTGAAATAATGTGGAATTGTTTCCATAATGTATCAACAATTTAAGAGGATTTTAAGAGATGAAAAATATAGGAATGTGATTTTAAGTTATAGACTTGTACTATTTAAAAATATGAAAGTTAACATTTACACTTTTTCTATTTTATGTTCTGTGTAATTTTAGGTAAATATAAAAATTAAAAATTGATAAAATTTGTATTTTACATTCAAAATATTACTTTAGGTAAAATGTAAATTAGATTAGGATGAATACCATAAGAAACTTACGTCTTCCTGCTCCTTGAGGAACTTCATCACAGTACTTGGTAATATCCAGAAAACACGCTCGTTGTAACAACGGATCTACATTTATATCAGCTTTGGATTCTTCAATCAATCCAGCTACTTCTAAACGACAAGCCCGACTTTCTATTAACCCATGACTCATTGCTTGTTTTAAACATTCTTCCACTTGTCCAGAATCTTCTATATCACCATTGCCTTCATTGTGCTCTTCTTTTCGGCAGAGCTCTTTAATCTATTTACACAAACAAAACAATCAAGCTAATTTTTTCTTTTATATATGAAATATGTTAGTCTTAAAATACCTCGGTTGTACAAAGACTTCGTAACAATGGATTTAATTTGTAATTTAATGCAGATTCACGTAAAGTAATAGATACTTGTTTCTCGCATTCTGGCTTAAGCTTTCTTAGTCTAAACTTTTCCTGAAAATATAATTGTAATATTTAAATTCAAAAACAATATATATAAATTTAATAAGCACAAACTTTTAAACATTGTAAAACTTTTCCATTATACTCGGACTCTGGCCGTAACTTAGCCAATATTTGACTACAATATAAATTGATGTCTGCTTGACAACTATGATGTAGTGCTGGATCCAGTCTATAGTCATCACTTTGTTCAATCATACGTTGAATTACAAGGGATTGGCATTGTTTTTCAAACGTCAGATCATGTTTGAATTTCTATAACCAATTTAATTAGTTATGATTTTTATTCAATTAGTTATTAAGAGGACGTGATAACTACATGTATTGTCTCATCTTACAAGTGCGTAACACAGAAAATTTTAAGCTCGGCAGATCACTTTTAGCATTGTTGGTGTAAAAATTAGAGTGAATTAACCTCATATAAAATTTAAAGGTAAGATTATAATTCAGAGTCCCACATGGCCTTTTGTTGATATTATTTTTAAGTAAGTTATGACCTTTTTTTGAAACTGTACATTTTAAAATGATTATAACTTACTTAAAAATAATATTATCAACAAAAGGCTACGTGGAGCCTTAGATAATAATCTTACCTTTAAATTTTATAAGAGGTCAATTCACAATTTAATTTTTAAGCTAACGGATCTAAACGTGATCTTCTCAGAGTGAAGTTTGCTATGCTACACATTTGTAAGACGGAGACAACACATCAACGTCCTCCTCTTAAACATAAAAAGTAAATAAATAATTAAAATAATATTTATTTTGTTTAAGATTTTTTATAAATTTATCCACAAATAAAACCTTTAAACAGCTCAAAGCTCGAGAGGAATTTTCTTCTTTACAGTATAGCTGCAACATCTTATGGCATTTTGTTAACAAAACATAATCTGACGAACTGTCGGTCAAATCTTGTCTCTGGATTAAAAATATTACTCGATGACATTGATCTGACAATAAGCTCTTGTTCATTTCAAGACACACTAAAATCTAAAACATAAAATAAAGGGTGTAAGAAAAATATGTAAAATTATGTTAAAAAGTTTTTAAGTGTTATTTTACCTGTGCTGAACCAGATTCCATATTAGAACAATGTTTTGCAATATCATTTTGACATGCATTTTTTAAAACCGGATCTAAATCTAAGTATTCACGTTGCTGTAATAACTGAGCACGTAATTGTTGTCGGCATGGTTTTGTGACTTTATGTTTAGAGTCAGTTATAGTATCATTACGTACTACTTCACTTAAACATGCTACAACCTAAAAACAAAAAAATGAATTATGTGTATACTCGGACATTAAGGGTGCATATATTTTACTATTCAAAGCTACATAAATCTACATACCTCTGGTTTGGTGCGAGACTTGGGGCAATACCTAATAACAGTTGATCGACAAGCTTCTTTGAATGATAAAGTAAAACGGTAATCATTCATAGATATCAATTGAAAATGTTCCACAGCAGCACGACATTTTAATTCTGTTTTCATTTCAGGATCATTTTTATTTTTGATCAAACAGTCCATTACATCATTTTTACCAATTTCATCTTTAGATAAAAGTTCAGCCTATGTCAAAGAAAAATAAATAATAATTATACTTAATAATAAATGTTTATGTTTATTAAATTTACCGAACAAAATTGTTGAATGAATGGTTTACAATGTAATCTAATAACGGGATTTAGCTGAATATCTTCAGCTTGTGCTTCTGTCCACAGCCTTATCGATTCCTTACATTCTTTTGTCATTTTTTTGCTGAAATAATAATTTAATAAAATACACTTATTTTAAATGTTACTTCTAATAAACTGTTATTATATACTTATTAAAGTGGTCTTGTAGACAGAGCATTTCCTCTCCGACACCGGTTTTTTTGTGACAAAAGTTTGGAAGATCTTTAATACATGCTTCTGCAATTTCTGGGTTTAGATCTACACTAATAGCTCTTTGTATCATAACTTTCCGTACCTGATCTTTACATTTTGGTTTTAACTGTTAAAAGCAAATTATTTAAGTATCAAAATATTTTACTCTAATTAATGTTTAGAGTCTACTATATAAATTGTTTATACTTTATATTTTGCTCCAGTTGAAGATGATGTAAAGGGTCGATAGTACTGAGTAAGACATGGCAAAATCAAGTTTTCTTTTGATTCTTTAATCCAATCTCCAGTAGCTTTGCATATTCTTGATGCATCCGAATAACATGCTTGATATAATGCAGGATCTAATGTGAAATCGCGATTAATAAAATATTGAACTGGCAGTAATGCATTCTTGCATTTATCTTGAACTGATCCCACAAATAACTTTTCCAACAAACAGGATATCACCCTAGTTTTAGAAAATATAAGAAATTAATACATATCTACTGATAATATTGATTCAATTCAATTAAATTACCTGTTATAACCAGGAGGTATATCAGAGCAGTATTTATCAACTTCAGACTGACACATTTCTTGGAGTACAGGATCTACTCTCCAGTCTTCACCAATATTTGTGATGCGCATAAGTTTTTGTAACTAATTATGATTAAAAACATTACATGAATTAAAAGAGATGATATCTCATAAATGTATAAAAAAAACATACCGATTTTTGACAAGACTTATCTATTCGGTTTTTTTGACGTGAAGGCTTAGAATGGTCCATTAAACAATGAATTGTTCGCCTGCTAACTTCATTATTTCTACAATATTTTTCAATATCATTAGAACACGTTGAAACAACTTCTGGTGATAAATGGTGGTTTTGGAGTAACAATTTTCGATGTTCCATTAATTCAAATTGACAATCAGAGGATACTTTACTGCCTGAAAATCAATTGTTAGTATTAAATAATAATATTTGTTTTTTCTATAATTACAATAAAAATAATGATCTATATAACTTTATCTCTATTCTTTAATTATCTCCATAGCCAATAAGCTGTTCCTAAGATAAGAGTTTTAATAGTACATTAGATACATAATTTAATAAATAGTAAAATATTTATTAGTTTTTACTACAAAAATAATAACAATAATACAGTTTATGTGTTGCAGTATAGTTCACAAAAGCAACACATTATTTAGCTTCAGAGGAAGCCACACATGTGTTATCAGAATCTTTCAAATATACAAAATAACAATTATGTTCACAATAGTCCATTTTATTTTGTTATTATTCAAACTATACTCCATTCATGTTAAAAAGGAAGGCACCTCAGCGTTGACCATTTTTCAGGTAACACCCGTTTGTTACCCACACCGAGTCAACCATCAGTGTAGTTAAGCCACGCCACTAGGCACAAATCGACCACTGAGGTACCTTTTTAACGTAAATAAAGTATAGTGTGAATTAACTTATTATGAAATGTAAATGTTGGATTATTATCTAGTGCAGAGATTCCCAATATTTTCACTTTGGAAAATTTTAAAATTTAGTGACTCGCAACATTCTAATAACTTTTTGGTGTTTTATTATTAATAACTGCATTTGCAATAATTTATTAGTCTGAGTGTCGTGGTGACATGTCTCTGATATACTTGTAATTATGGCTGATAATTATCTCTGATAAAACTAAATTCGAAAATTAGGGTACAATAGTTACAAAGAAAATACTGTATCATACACTTGTATTTATAGATAAAATATATCTTTTCTTTAGTACATTGAATATTTATTTTATAGTAGTTTAGTATTAAATATTTTGTATTATAAGCAAATAAAAATACATTAATATTCCAAGATTTAAAACAACCTACTTTTGGGCCACAATCATTGATCTTTTACTAAAAGATTTGCCTTTAGTACACTAAGATTGGTCAAATATAGAGGACACTGGTAGTATATTAACTATAACACTATACATAATATATATTTCATGTATAACTGTGTGGTGCGTGAATCAATTACTCGGTCACTTTAACTCACTTAATCAAGATGCATAATACTACTAATATAAGCAGGAATGGTCTGAGTTTAAGGTTTATGGTTACAATCTATAGTTAAGGACATTTCTGATCTGGTGCATCTCTGAGACTTAATTGATATTTTAATTTTGATGCAAGTTATGATCATTTAAAAATGTTATGTTTTAAAATGTCCATAAATTGCTTTGTTATTAAAATAACAATGATAGCCTCAAGTATTCCCTAGTTAATAATCTTAGCTTTAAATTGTATAATGGGTCAATTTACTCTAGTTTTAAAAATATCAGAGTAAAATGGATTATTGTCTGTACTTGGATTATTGGACTAACTTGGATTATTGTGAACTTACAGGGAACTTTACCATGGTAAAAAAATGTTTATTATATAACAGCTTTGTATCTCAAAATGTTTAAAAATTTGTGTTCAATATGTTTTTAAGATAAATACTTATCTTGAGTATGAAATAATATATTTAAATGTTTATAGTCTAAATAATTTAATACTTTTAGTATTTTTAACTGTACCATTATGTATAGCATTTTCTAAACACAGCAAAAGTTGTGCCAAGCGTACATCCTTATCATCAGATACTAATCTTCGACAGCGGTATGTGCGGATGTCTTCTCTGCATGCTCTAGTTAATCCTTTACTGACTCTAATATTACCAGAAATCAATTTTTCTCTCCTCCAAAGTTGATTTTGGCACTATATGTAATATTTTAAAAACAATACTTTATAAATAATAAATTCTAATATTTAGAACTCGAGTAACAAAATTACCGGAAGTGACATTTGTCCACTACCAATATGTCCAGCAAGACAGTTGTAAACAAGACCACTACCAGTTCGAATGTCAGCACATAATTTTTCTTTGTCTTTTAAGCAGGCCATATGAAGGGAATAATCAAATTTTATATTATCTGCTTGCCACTCGGATAGTTTATAAACTAAAGGTAAACATTGCTTTGGAGAAAGTTTGTCTATATTGGATTGAAGGCATTCTAATACACGTCCTCGATACAGTGTCTGTAAATGAAATGAGTATATTTACGAAACTATATAAATTAACTAAAATAATTTTTACATACATCTATGACAGAAGTGTTGTAACAATGAAATTTTTTTATATCATCTTGGCATGAGTTTGAAAAATTTGTGATTAGTCTAAAATCAGAAAATGCTATATTTTCTATTCGCATTATTAAATGAATGCAGTCGGTATTTCTAATGCTCTGTTTTTTGTCAACTATGCAACCAAACCAATTCTTGTCTCGTTCGCAGTTGAGTTTTTCAATTTCATATCTACATTTTGGCCATAATACAGCTCGAAGATTTTCTTTTGCCATAAACTTTTTTAAATGAGTCCATATGGCTTTTGGACAGTTGCCCGAAAAATCTGAATCCTAAAACAATTAAAATTATTTTTTTACAATGTATAAGTTAGATGGAATATTTTTACAATGTTGTACATTTCAAAAATTGACCAATAAAATATGAATGAAATGTTTTACACAATTCAGTTTGTTTAGTGGTTTCTATTAAACGACAATTTATGAAAAGAATAAGTACAAAATAAGCTAATAAAAAAAGTGCATAATTGAATTTTAAGGGGATTAATTACATAATTCAGTTAACTAGTAACTTGGGAATAGCGGAAAAAATACCACGGAAAAAAACTTAAATATAAATGTGAATACATGTATATTCTATTCCTAATTAGTAACTACCCTGTGGTGAGTACCTATAACAATATTTAATACATTTTAATGAGATAATGTCAATTTATTGTCATGTGTAATTTGTATAAATGTAGTATGTATATACGTAAGACTGATGTTTTTTTACTTATAACTTATAAGTTATAACACTGTATATTATGTATAAATGAGTTCATATATGTATTTAATTTTTTTTACTATGACAAGTTATATTTTTTATATAATTAATATTTAAGCATAAGCCATATTCAGACATAAAATTATTTATACTTGATATTTTTCATTGAATAGGTAAAAAAAAGTTTTTTATTAATTGAGTATCCGCATATAAAGTTTCCTATATTGGCTAAATAATTTATGAATTATTAATTTCTATTTGGAGAAGAGTACCTATAATACATGTGATCACATTTATATTTAATTTTTTTTCTGGGCTTTTTTCCCGTTTTTCATAACTTAGATCAATAAGTAACAAATGAATGGAGTTATAGGTACTTCATAATTATTACAAATTACAATAGAGTTTACACAACTTGCACCAGTAACTCTTTATAAGACAAATGTAAGTTGTAGGTAGGATCTTATTTAAAGTCCCTTAAAAAAATTAACTTGTTACTATTAATATGAACACTGCACAGTATACAAACATTTGTTTTTAACTGATGGTTGGGACAGCACAAAATAATACAAAAATAAATTCTAGCATCTTTGTAAAGTAATTAAATTAGTGAATATTTTTGGTTAATCTTATAAATATCATCAATAAGTTTGTTGTACATTAAATAGCAATTGTTACATCAAAATACAGGTACCTTAGGGAACTTGTGATATCAAGAAAATTATTCCTAAGACTAGGTACCTATAAAGTTGTAAATGTAGGTATTTGATAAGTACATTAAACTTGGAGTTACATTTGAAACCATTATTCATATCATTCATTCGCTTAACTATTAAGTTATTATTTTAACAACAACATTTTAGTAAAAAAATCTAAGTTGGTATTAAGCAGTGTTGAAAGCAACTTAACTTTAGTAACAAGATACTATAACAAAGTTACTTTTAAAGTAATTTGATTACATTTTATTGCAAGTAATTTATATGTAATTTAAATTCCTTTTTTGCAGTTAAATTACTTGTTACTTAAATTTGATTCAGTACATTTCTAGAACTAATTGATAATGTGTGTAAATATTAAAATATATCATAAAATTAATAAAAATTTATAAGTAAAATTTTCTGAATTCCGTTATTTTTGTTATAGCTATTGACTATTTGACAATAAAGTGTTTTTTTTTGAAATGGAATTGTTATCTGTATTGTTTAAAATAAATTTTAAAAATAAAGATTAATATGTAACAAAATGAGTAACAGTTAATAATATAATATTGTTGATTGTCATTATTTAGCTTATATAAATTGTTGTGTTGACAACATGGTTAGGTAGAAGGTAAAAGTAACTTCTATTGTAATTTAGTAACTTTTTAAACTCAAAAGTAATGCAACTTGATCAATTAAAAAAAAAGCAACTCATTAATATAGTTACAATTTTGATAAGGAATTAGTAGAATAATTTAACTACCAAAAAAAAGTAACTTCCCCAACACTGGATGATCAAGAGTATATGAAAATATTACTCAATATTTACCTATTGGCTATTATGAGCATTTAAACAAAGGAAGTTTAGATTGTTATTTTTTTTTAATTTATCAATTACCTAATATACACATTAGATATTATACAACGATACACGGTGAGTGATTATAATTTATTTTTGAATTCTATCAGAGTGTAAACAATTACCTCGTAGAGCTGTATGCATTCCAGAATGTCAAGTTTTGACACAGCCGCAGTGCCCGCGTTGGCACATCTCAATTTCAAGTAATCGACGCACGATGGTTCAGCCAGCAGCGAATCGACCGCGGATGCATCAGCAGAGCTCAACAGCAGCAGCAGGATCGAAGCGGCAATGACGGACCCGGCCATCGTTTCTTGTGGATCGCAATGGGGGCGGATCACTGGTAACAGTTCGTCGACGGTCGAGGATGACGTCTCTCAGGCGACATGACGGCCCTACCACTTCCGGCTAGCCAGGACGTGGAAACGAAGCACAACGACGGCAATTGCTGTCAATCGGAAACAACAATAGCGGCCAGCACCAGCAACAGCAGAGCGACTCATTCGAATTGTGGCCAAGTAGGAACCTATTATATTAAGTACGGACGGTTCTTATCAGCAATAACGCGGAACGCTGCCGGTACGCAGCTCGCTCGACTTGCTATTCCGTATCACTCGTTATCATAGCCATCGTCATCATCGTATTATTATTATTATTATTATTATTATTATTGTTGTTGGAATACCGATAAGTCGTCACCACAATAACAAAACAACCACCGCTGCAACGACCGTACTTAAGTACATTGCCCTATGATTACCGATCGTAACGACAACGACAAAGATCCGAAATGATAAAATATTATTATTATTATTATTATTATTATTTATTGCGTCGTCGTCGTTGTTGTCTCGCCGATGACCGAAAATCAAATGAAATGCAACCGAGTGGAGTGGGAAATGAGAATCGCAAACGGCAAAACCGATAAAAATATATTCGAACTAAAGCTGTTCTGCTTTTGATAACCGTCGGTGGTGGCGGCGTAGGACCGATAAACATTACGATTTACAGTAATGGCATATTATTAAAATGTTAATGTTATTATAATTAGATAATAATATTAATTATAGCGGGCGGCGCCGATGGCCTACGCCCCTTATGGCGATAAAGACTAAAGAGTTACGACTTGTCGAGTGTCTGCGTACATTGTCTGTAGTGTGTTCTCTGTGGTTATCTGTCGGCACTCGCCACTCGGCGCAGCTGCGTATGTATTTTTGTGATGTAAATGAAACATTGAAATGGTTTCGTCGTTTAATAATTATCAAAAATTGGGATTTGGGTAAAATATTACCTAATAGGTGTTCATAAGGGCATATATACTTGTTGCTTCCCGAAATGAAAAAAAATGATAATATTAAATTTGTATACGTATAGCTTCCAGACACACAGGTGCCCAACATTTTATCGTAAACGAAAATGGTCGAATTCTAGTTGCCTCCCTAGTCCCAATAGGCAAGTAATAAATGTATATTTGTAAAGGTACCTAGATGGTCCTTCATCGATTCAAAAATTGTATAGGTTGGTATTATAGGTAGGAATATAATATATTTGTATAAATATATTATTTATTACCAAATGCTTTTTCAAAGACTATAATTGTATTATTTTTGTACATAGGTATCAGGAAGTTGTAAGTATTGCATATTTTTACGAATGTAATCGATTTATTACAGACCCAAACTAGAAATCCATTCGATATTTCTATACAAAAACTATTTTAAAAAAACAAAAATTAAAAATGCATATTTTGCGTTCTTCGATAATATGAGAAAATAGTACATATTTATTCATTTTAAACTTTCATGTATATTAAATATTTTCTAAAAACCAAAAAAAAAGTTGTTTGGTCTTTAATTACTCACTTAATTTTAAATTAAGTTATTTAATGTCGGTATTTATTATTATTTTCATCGTCGCTGTCGAATATTATAATACAATATATTTAACAACAGTGGCAAAAAAGCGAATAAGAATTTAATTTTGTACAACATGCGTAAATACCTATAAATCGTAATAATAGTCTGTAGACTGTAGTTGTCTAAACATGATGAGTTGTGAGTTTTGTTCTATAGGCGGTGTATCAGTTGTTTACTGTTGATATAATGAAATCGAGTGTTCACGTGTTGGATTTGTTTTGAAAAAAAAAAATTTTACAATGTACAAAAATATGTGTAAAAGAATGTTTGGACTACTATGGAGTATGGAGACGATTTAACGTCTGATGGCAAATTACTATTTTGTAAAATGTGAGATAATTGTTAACGTAAATACAGAAAAAAATTACGGTTACGCAGCATTTCCAAGAGAAAAAATGGCTAAGTGGATGTCGCTCTGCTGTATAGGTATAGGTTACAAGTAGGTCATTGTAATGGATGGTGTTAAGTTAGAATTTAATGATATAAGATCATTGTACACGAAAAACGATTCAGGGCGAAGACGGTTTGCCAGCCTATAATATTACTTACCTAGTAATTTATTATATTTCATGATTTTATTGTACTAAAGTAATTTATTTTGCTATTAAGCATTACTACTATAATAGGTTAAATTCTTTTTGTCAAAAAAAATTACATTCGAAAATTCATTGTGTGTTTAAAATATAATAATATACTCTAAAAGTTTCACCCACGAATAATATTTTTAAATGACAATAAAATAACTTTAATCATTATAATATGTAATTTCGTCCAAATTTGAACATAAAATAACTATAAAAAAACTGTGTCAATACATTTTTTAGATTTTTCGGTTACAGTATAAACTACTTGTGTGCATTTTTGTTTTAAAGTTTTGATCCTTAGCTATAAAGATACTATAATTTTATGAATATTTATCTACAAGATAATTTGTAAATTTTCAATTTGTTAAAGGATGTCAAAATTTAAACTTTAAAAACAAAAACGTACCTATGTATTTTAAATATTTTCCACTGTTATTCTTACAATATATCAGGAGCCATGTATTAAATTGTGAAACTTTTTGACCCAACAAATAAAATTTTATTGACATTTATAGAAAAAAAAATTAAAAATGGAAAATGTCCGTAAACAGATCAAAACGAGTCAACATTTTTTGAAAATTTCTTCAAGTATAAACGAATTGATAAAGGGAACATACGATGTAAATTTCAAGTAGCTACAGTTATTCGTTTTTTAATCATAAATTCATAACATAATAAGAAAATCGCTACATGAGAAATCGAATGAATATATCCAATGTTTTAAAAATTTCAACTTCAAACCTTATAAAAATTAAATTTAACTTTCCGATAGAATTTTTCTTTTTTTTGCTTAAGGTAGACAAACTTATAAGAAACTTGTATACAATTTTAAAATCTTAGATATAAAAGGAAAAATTTTTATGAATTTCTAACTCAAAATAATTTGCTTATTTTCGTGATTTTTATAAGAATTTTGTTCAAATTCTAAAATCAAAAGCTTATAAAAAATAATTGTGTTTTTTTTAATCCCCCCTAACAGAAACTTACGAGGAACTTTGTTTTACATTTTCAAGTTTTTTGATAGAGCGAACATTTTTTTATTTTTTTATTTAGTTTAAAAAAATGAATAATAACCGAAATTTGATTTGCCCATAAATACGAGTAGTTCAAAACGAGTCAAAATATTTTGAAAATTGTATAGTGTATAAGAAATGCGATATAAACAATCAGTGAAAATTTCACGAATCTGAGATTTTTTTTAGAGCTGTATCAAAAACTAAAATTGATTGTGTCGAAACCGGTCTTCCTTAAAAATGTCAGTTCTTCCTTAATATTTAGTTTGTTTTTCTTGCCGTTACTGAAAACTAATAAGAATTTTTGAATTTTGACCCCCCAAACTAGGTTCACTTACCTGCCAGAAAAGATGCTGATGAAGAAAATCAAAGCTTCACTACCCCAATAGGCGATTGCTCAGCTTAGAATCAACTATACATAATATATTGACGGGAGGCACTGGCTAAAGTCATCAATGGTAAGTAGACTAACAATAGTCAATATGTGATATATATCAAATAGTAACTTGTTACTGCAGTGCCGGCGCATCTAATAAAAAGTTGGCGTTTTCTAAAAGATGTAGGTAGGATATGCAAGCACGTATCAAATAGATAGACCAAATGGAGTCAAATGCCCAATTTTGACGTTTATAAATCAAACTATAAGAGTTATGTAGTTTTTTAACAGTAAAAAATTACGTAGCTTTAAACTAAACGATTTGAAGTTATCTTAAAACTTGGATAATAAATATATGTTATAATGTATTTTTTCATACCTAACCATTAGACAATTATTTTGATCAAAATTAAAATTAAACATCATCAAGGTTATCTCTGGAATGAAACTATTATAAGTTAGCCAGTAATGTATTTTCCTAGTTTTTAAATATTAAAAGCCATTAAACCGTTATCTAAATATATTGTGTAATCTGAAATCGTCAATTGCGAATATTTTTAAAAAATATTAGATGAACGCCTTATTTATCGTATGTGATAAAAGAATAAAATTAATGTTTTGCTTTGAAGTCTAATAAAAATATCACATGTCACTCCACGGGCTCATAATTATAACTTATAATTTATAAATAAAATTATAGATACCTAATAAAATAAATTTATATGTAAAAATTTTACCCTATAGCACCTTCTTCACGTCATCGCTTGGATATCCGATTATGATTTAAAATAATAATGATGTTTATTACACGCTCGTGGGGCCCCAGCCTTAAGCCATAATACAATGGTAAATTGTTATTAATTATTGCATGTATGTATTATGCGTTATCTGGTGTTTATAAAAAGTAAAATAAAACGATAAACGTTCACTAATCATTTTAAAAAATACATCATATTCCGTGCGTGTGGCGTGTTATGACAATAATGATTAATTGTACGATTATTATTATGCAATTTTATCGTACAGATAAACACACGATCTCGAATTCTTGGAAAACTGCATGTTATAATAATAATTAATAAATCAACCACTTTGCATTTAATCCTTTTCAACTCATCGCAGATTTATTAATGGCATAAATTCCAATTCCCAGGTAGTATCTTACTAATGTAGTAATAAATAATATTAAATATATATCCAACATTTAAATGGGTACGTATTACGATTGCAAAGTTCCATTAAATGTGTGCATTAATAGTTAAAGTTTTGAAAAGTTTAATATTAACCTTCTCCTTTATTTTTAAGTTGAAAATACTTAGTTATTAATCATTGGAGATGTATATATATATAAGTATATATATAATATATATAGGTATATAGTTACCTACAGTGTTGGGGAAGTTACTTATTTTGGGTAATTAAATTACATTACTAATTACTAATCAAAATTGTAACTAAATTATTTTTAAGTTACTTTTTTTTCATTTTGTCAAGTTACATTACTTTTGAGTTTTAAAAGTAACTCAATTACAATAGAAGTTACTTTTTTTTTCATATCACTGGAGCTTAATAACTATTTTGTCTATATGACAATACACAAACTATATAATGACTATCAACAATATGAAATTATTAACAATTAATACTAATTTTGCTGCACATTAAATATTTAATTTTAATTTTTCAAATTTATTTTAAACAACAGAGCGTTTTCAAAATTACTGTCAGTAATTTTCGGTTGCTTTTTAGTGCATATATCTCCTGCTATGCTAAACAAACGTTCAACAGAAGCACTTGAGGGTAAAGCAGTTACTCTTAGTAGAAGTAGAGTACATTTTAGAATTTACACAAAGGTTACACTTTACTTCAAAATTGTTGTTATTTACCGAAATTAACTTAAATAAATTGTTGTACATATTATCGTCAAATAGTCAATAGCTATAATAACAAAAGTATTTTAGTATCACAAGTTCAGAAAATTCTACTTATAAATTATAATAATTAGGTATATGATATATTTTAATATTTACACTCTTTATCAATACCTACGTTCTAGAAATG